GTTAAAGACCGCCTGAATGACAACTAAAGCTTAGCAAAAACTATTTAAATAAAGCTCTGGAACGTATTGAATTGAGTGTACTGTTTTTTAACAGGCTTTCAATTTTGCAACATTGTTCCTTCTGCCATGTCTCTTAAGGCAACAAGTATAACATCAATGCTTAAGAAAAACTGTCCTTACTTTTACATGGAAGCAGAAAAAAGCTGCAGATCAGATGTATGGAAGCTGCTGAGTGTCACACGAACTGTGTCTGGTAAAACACACCAAGACTGTCGCTGCTGTTCATCTAAGTCAACAGCTGATTCAGACGGAAGAAAACAGGAAGCCTGGAGTTTTTCAGGAAAAGAGGTCGGCATAAGGCGAGATAAGGTTTCACTATGAGGAAACATTCATTTCAAACAACTTTAAAATCCTTTTCCTCCCAAAATAAGTGAAACAATGTTCAATCGCCACAAGGAAATCCCCTCTGCAATTACAGCACATTCTGGAAAGTAATTTATCTCCCAGCAGACGGATAGCGTTTCTTCCTTTCAACCACTCTTCATGAGATTGTACACGACACACAGGAGAATCACTGTCGCACCGAGGGAAGTCTGATTAATTTAACTTTGTCAAACCAATTTTACAATTAGACGAGACTCTAATGTGTTTTTGCAGGTTCTGCCGGGAAAAGAAAACATATTCAGGAAAGGCGTCCAGAGAGAAGGAATGCAGAGCCACTTCATTTTATCCACCCTGTCCATTCAATTATTTCACTTGCAAACAGCGGCTCATCAGCCGTGCAGTCAATTGTCGAACCAAAGGGACAAATTGTCCAAATGTGGCCTTTTGCAGGTATTCATAGAACCTGCAAATATCTGAACTCACTCTTTGGCAGAATCAAAGCTTTTAGGGATCTGGTGAAAAAATGATCAAAGCTTATTTTAAGATTTAGACTAAAGGCTTTGTTACAGTCATTGTAACCAGAAAGTTAAAAAAATAAACTTTTAGTAGGTTTTCCCTGATGGAGGTTTGTATTAAACTAAGATATTTTGTACACACTTTATTGATGAATTATCCTTCCACAGAAACACACAACTAATTTATAGTAACATTTTTAATTACTGTTTGAAACAAAATGGATGGATGGATGGATGGATGGATGGATGGATGGATGGATGGATGGATGGATGGATGGATGGATGGATGGATGGATGGATGGATGGATCACTCAACTTCAGAGTAATTCAAAGTGCTTTGAGGGAAAAACAGACAAAAACACAAACGGAGGGATGGATAGTAAAAAAGATTCCTTGCTTTTTCAGGCTGCAAAGGAACCCCGTCTGCAAGAACTGACGCTGAGCCCTTTGAGTTTTAGCTCAAATGTTTATCCCTATCAGCTGCCGTCAGCATGCAAATTCTCAGGAAAAGCTTTTTATAGCTTTTCCTGACGAGCTGTGGTGCACTCATCAGGGTTTACACAACAGTGCCCACGGGTTAGAGCAGGGAACCTATAGATCAATGAGAAAGACTTCCATGTCCACATGGGGTTGTGTGAAGGTTACGGCCACCCTGTGTGCTCCCTCTGGGTTTCACATACAGGAGAGTGAATGGACAGAGTGCGCTGACATTCACTGAAAATTTACTAGCAGTCTTTTCTTTTGCTGCGTGGGTCCGTTTACCCAACGCTGCTGATCGCTGAGTTTGGCACCAAACCCCAAGTGAGTGATCTCAGCCGTTTTCTCCTCTCTTAAACGTGTCACCTCAGCAAGAGGAGCAGCAGTCTTTTTGTAAAATATAGAGTAAGGTCTTGTGCAGTCAGCTTTGATCAGTTTTTGCTAAGGTTGCCTCGACGGTGCTCTGTTTTAGCTGACCGTTGCAACCAGTTTCTGCTAAATACTCAATTAACTCAGCAAATAAGCAATCTGGACTTTTAGCTTCATAGTCAGGGAAAAAAAAGCCTCCTTTTGAGAGCTAGTCTTCAAAATGCACTTTAAAAAGCCAGAAATGTTTCCATATTTGCAGTTTTAATAAACACAGAACCCTCCTGGAAGACGCATTAAAAGTTTCTAATAATTACAACATAAATCCATCTTGCATCCAGCTCCGGAAAAGACATAAGCAGGTATAGTGCTGTAAAAAGTCTTGGCTTCAACTCACATTTCATTATATTCTGCCTTAACAACTTTATATTTAATAAAGAACTAGCAATAGACATATAAATTTCTGAGGCATAGAAAAACCTGATCAATCAGGGTTGGGTCTAGGTATGCGCTGGAATGAGATTCAGCATTTCTTCAGATTGTATCTCATTAAGCCATCGGAACATTACTTGAAAGCATAAAATAGGAAGAAAATCAGCTTGAAGTTATAATAATAACAATCAGCCAGACTCACTGGTTCCCCGACTTGCAGCTGGAGTGTGATGAAATCAGGTGGAATGTCATTCTCTCTAAATTAGATCTACCTTTCCTAACAGACATGCCACTTGTTGCAGGCTAATTATAATTTTATCTTGGTAAGGATGGCAGCTGCAGTGACTAGAAATATGTCCAAACACAAAAAAATGTCTTTCTTGTAAGTGAGGGGGAAAGTGTGGAAGTATTTATTTGTTTTTCGGGGTTTTTTGCAATTTATGGATGATATCAATAGTATATAAAGCAGAGAAAACTCTGTTCACTTTCTTTGATATTTCATTACCATTTGACGAGGTTTCAGATTTTTATCACTTTTTCACTTTTTTATGGTGCAAATTTAGTACTTTAATTATCCTTTGCATTTTTCTATGTTCCTAAAGGAATGAATGAATCTGCAAATCAGTGACAAGTAGATGGTATTAAAACTCCTAATCATCCAATTTAACAGTAGTTTGTTTGCTAAATGGTCTGATGTGTGTAAGCTTAAGCATTTCATTAAAGCCTAATTGAATTTCTTTAAGATGACAGAAGCAAAAAAGAGGGAAAAATGTCAAACAAAAGTGTTAGATCTCCAGAAAAACAGGAGACTTATGGCTTAAGACCACTTTACAAGATTACAGACCACTTTGAAAAGATTATAAGAAATAAGTCAGGCTTGGCGGAAGCCAAACATTACACGGTAACCTACATCAGCAGCTGAACTATCCAGCTGAGATGTAGGCAAGAGATCAGAAAGGAAGATTAAATTCATTATTATATCAGAGGAACACATGCATGAAGGATTTCACTGAAAGGTAAACAGATGAAGTGATCTGATGAGCATTCAACATTTTTTCTCTCTTGTATTCTCTGTGAAGTGTGTCGGGCGTTTTCTACAAAAAGCATATTTTTCTGAGTGCAAATACACAAAGTTACGTGAAATATGACCTCTCTTTGCTAGAAATTGAAACTATACTGGAGTCGCATTTAAGGGATTTTCCACATTCATCTTACATTGTCCTGACTCTTTAAACTTCAAGGATGTGATAAAAAAAAAAATTTCGACTAAAAAGAAATTATGAATGAAGTCAAAGAAAACAAGATTTTTGTAAGAGAATCAGGTGCCTGAAACGACTTTAGCCGTGCTAAGAATGTTCCCTCTATAGGAATTTTGAAACCTATTAGTTTTTTTCTGACACTGTCGCCATCTATTGGTGACTTATGGTCATTTTGTGCATTTGCCATTTTATTCCGTTCCCAGACATCTGTGGGGACACAAGAGCTGCACGACATGGATCACTTTGTGATGATACTTTTTAAACATACTTTAACAGACAGTGATCATTTCTTCTCTTTGGCATTTTGCCCCTATGCAGTCGTGGACGTTTCATGCCTGACTCTTTCCAATAATAAGAAGCAGTTATCTCCTATGGGGTATTTTATACCAGCCCTGCTTCGATTTATTTTCATATTCATTGTGACAGCCAGGAACTTATTTAAGTAGCCTACTCATAGCCAAATGTAAGGAAATAAAGTTATATGGCTCTAATAACAAAAGTATCTACCAGATGGAGGGTGTTCAGAGGTACTTTGGTTTGATTAATGGTCATTTTTTTATGTATTTTTGTGATAATAGTTCAATAAAAATACTTCAACATGCTAAAAACTACCAAAAGAAATAAACCGATACCTATTACCTTGTTACTGGTCCATGAATACTTCACAACTGCAAGCTTTTCTGAAATAAAATTCCCAAAATTGGTCAATCTTCAGCAACAGAATGTAGATAAAAAATAAAATCTGTTGCTGACAACTGACCATGAGATATTAACAGAAAGAATCTGATGTTTAACAATTCACAGGTTGCTTGTCCTTTCAAGTAGGGGTCATTAGAAAGGTCCTTCTGGGTCAGAGTCACCTGAGTTACTGGATCATTTAAATGATTTCCCAAAATATCTGCAAAAATTGCATTTACAGGGCAAAGTGGATTAAATATTTCGGAATTATTCCTTGGAACGAGAAACTAGGAATAAATGACACCATAATCTGATTAAATCACACCAATATAGTAATAAAACTGTTATTACACTACGTACAAAACGCAGTCTGAAAATAAGCGCCGTTGCCACATTCCTGCACTGTATTCACACTTTAATTAATTAATTTATTTTTTTTGTCCTCCAAGGACTTATAAAGAGAGGAGGCTTTTTTCGGGTCATACCTGCAGAGCATCCCCGCACACACTGCGGCATTGAAGGCAGCACCGCTTTAATGCTCCCATATCCCCGTTAATTGAACACGATGCGGTCTCCAGAGCGGACCTTTCCAGGCTCTGACAGAGCAGAACTGGAGGGAGGTGGAGGGAATGGGGGAGTGCAATAATAAAAATAATAATAATCTGAATATTGGTAATTATAATAGACTTAAAATCCCTCAACAAGCTGTAAATATATCCCGCTCATTTGCGGTGCCTACATGAAGAGACGAGCATGTTTTATGTGAATCATTCGTGTTATTTTGAGCCGCTGCTATAGAGGATTACCAACCTAATATTATATAAACACCACCGGAACCATGTTCCATCCACTGCAGCCCCGAAATGACACCAAAAACCAGGATACTCACTGCGGGCAGACAGGGGGGGAGCGAGCAGGGTTGTCAGGACGCGGGCAGTCCTCCTGTGTTTGGGATAAAAATCACAGACAGGACGTCTGTTTTCCTCCGTGTCGTCGCTGCTGTGGAAGAAAGGCGAACAGAGGAGCAGGCTGAGCGGTAGCATGCACTGCGGTGTTCAGAGGCTGCTGTCGGCCCGCTTCTTCTGCTGCAGGGGAGGGGGCGAGACATTACCGCCGCCTGGTGGTGGGGAGACTGCACAGGTTTTTACAGGAATAGTCTAAAAAGCTTTGGCAGTAATAATAATTAAAAAAAAGTCCAAAAAATAAAAACTAAAAAATACTATAGTACAAAAATAATATAATGTATATTTTATTTAATTTATAATCAAAAAAATGAAAAATAAAACAAATATTTGTATGTTTTTCTCCAGGCTGTAAGGCAAGTTCCATAAGGAGACAATAATGAGGCGATAGATATACTGATTTCTCATTTATACAGTAAATCAATCAGTCGGCTTTTATTGACAAAGTACTTTTTATACACAAAAAGTACAATACAAATAAAAATAACAGGCAATGAAAAACAATCTAAAATAATTAAAAAAAATTGTGGTAAAGATATGATAATATGTTAGGTTGACTGACTTATAGGACTTATAGGAACCACAACTGTATTAATGGCAATGAGAAGATATTATAGGTTCTTAAAATCCACATAAGAATTTGGAAACTAAGATTACTACTAATAAAAATCAATAAAGAAATAAATATGCAAGCAAGATCAATACAAACTAAAATTTATATTTTATACAAACAACTGGCATAAACAACAGCAATAGAAATGAGTATGGTAAAAACCTGATAAAACTACAGCTAGAATGTACAGTAAAATAGAAAATGTCTGCCATCTTATAATTATGATATATGATTATACTTTATGTATATGTAATTGTATACACAACTGTAGTTTTTGAACTTCTAAATATAGTAAAGCAAAAGGCAAGAAAAACATTTGTGAAATTTTAAACATAAAAATAAAAAGAAAACAAGGTTGGACCTCTTGTGGACAAGCACAACAGTGAGAACATTAATTAATTACTAGAAAAAATGTTACTTTATCAAAACAAAACATAAAACAGTGAGAAACTTAATTTTACAAAGTGAAAAACTGCTGGAGTGTCATTTAATTTTCGTAGTAGCCACACTTACAATTTTTTTTCTTATTTTTGTCAACTTGAAACCATAAATAAGTGGATTCATTATAGGAGGAATGAGAAGAAATTCTATGGAAAAAAAGTTTTTAAAAGTCTCAGATAAATCTTTTGAGCCAAATCAAATACTCTCCATCTCCTTTTGATTACTCTCCAACAAAAAGGAGACTAAATGAAAAAGTGAACAAGGAGATCAAATGTGACACACACGTTTGCATGAACTTTCTCCTGTTTTCTATGGAACCTACACAGGCTTTTATGAGAAATACGTAGGACCACACAATTAACAAAAAGTGAAGTGCATCAAATGCTATTGTGAAATATCCAGCTATGCTGTTGTGAGTAGCTTCAGATGGAAAACAAGCAAGCATAACAATACTCCAGTTCAAACAGATGACTCTGTTTAAATCCGGATTGCATAGCTTCAACCTAGATGTAAGGATAGTGTTTACAGCAATAAAGCAAAATGGTGTTAGCCAGGCAAGACAGGCTGCAGTGATGACTCTCTGCTTCGACATGACAGAGTGGTACTCCAGTGGTCGACATATAGCCAGATACCGGTCATACGCCATGAGGGCAAGGATGGACAGATCACTGCAGGCAAAGGAGTACCACAGAAGGCAGCCTGAATAAGAGATGACATGAACAGGAGAGAGCAGATCTGACAGAAATTTAGGATAGAAACCTGCTGTTCCATAAAGGGAATTCATGCAAATAGCACAGAGAAAAATATACATTGGTTCATGGAGATCATTATTTAAGATTATAATCAGAACAACACAAACATTTGCAAGGATGATTACTCTTTTCTTTCTCAGTTTTTTGTGCTACTCTATATATCTTATCTCATTTAAACCTGACAGAAAAATAACTGAAATTGTTAAAACGTTGTTCATCTTGGTTCAGAAACGTGTCTCTGCTTCTTAATCAGCTCTCTGACGATGTCTAATCTTGCTTCTCTGTTGAATTTAGGAAATCTGGCAGTAGCTGTGGGATTTCAACTTACCCATTAAAAGTGGCAAGACATTACTTTATCAAAAATGGTAAGACTTATTATTATTACTATTATTATTATTATTATTATTATTATTATTATTATTATTATTATTATTATTATTATTATTATTTTATTTTTACAAAAGCATTATTTCATTTTCATAGTGGCCACACTTAAAATTTTATTTCGTATTTTAGTCAACTTCAACCCATAAATAAGTGGATTCATTATAGGAGGAATGATGAGAAATTCTATACAAATGAAGTTTTTAATCGTTTGAGGTAAATCTTTTGAGCCGAATCGAATATATATAACATCAAAAAGGAGAGTTAGAGAAAAAGTGCACAGGGAGATCAAATGTGGCACACATGTTTGCATGAACTTCCTCCTGTTTTCTAAAGAACCAACACAAGTTTTGATGAGAAACAGATAGGACCACACAATTAACAAAAAGTGAAGTACGTAAATTAATATTGTAATATATGCAACTACGCTGTTAACAGTCGTTTCAGATGGAAAACAAGCAAGCATAACAATGCTCCAGATCAAACAGATAATTCGATTAATGTATGGGCTGCATAGCTTTAACCTAGATGTAAGGATAGTGTTTACAGCCATAATGCAGAAAGGTATTGACCAAGCAAGACAAACCAAAGTGATGACTCTCTGCTTCGACATGACAGAGTGGTACTCCAGTGGTCGACATATAGCCAGATACCGGTCATACGCCATGAGGGCAAGGATGGACAGATCACTGCAGGCAAAGGTGTACAACACCTGAGCCTGCAGAAGGCAGCCTGAATAAGAGATGACATGAACAGGAGAGAGCAGATCTGACAGAAATTTAGGATAGAAACCTGCTGTTCCATAAAGAGCATTCATGCAAATAGCACAGAGAAAAATATACATTGGTTCATGGAGCTCATTATTCAAGATTATAGTCAGAACAACACAAACATTTACAAGAACGATTATAACGTAACACAAGAAAGTGAGAAAGAAAAGAGTTAAATGGTAATTCCTTGTCTCATTTAAACCTGAAAGAAAAAAATGAGAAATTTCTGAAACATTGTTCATTGTTAAGACATGTGGATCTGCTCTGTAACCAGCTCTTTTATGGGATTCTCTTTTGAAATGAATAATTTCTACAGTAGCTATGGGATTTCAAATCAGCCAATAAACTCTCTTTCATGCACTGTTGCTCATTCAGCGGGTGAAGGGTTACTGCCTGGTAATTGATTCCACAGGGGCAGACATCAACATCTTGAAGACGACCAAGAAGTGTACTACGACTGCACAACAATTTTAGAGGATGACCAAACATGATAGGTGAGAAAGTTCTGGAGGAAACAGATCTCTACACTGATTCCACACATATTTGTAGAAATGATTTCATCTACCATATTTTCCGCACTATAAGGCGCACCTTCAACGAATGGCCTATTTTAAAACTTTTTTCATATATAAGGCGTACCGCATTATAAGGCGCATAGAATAGACGCTACAGTAGAGGATGGAGTTACGTTAAGCATCCACTAGATGGAGCTGCACTAAACGGAATGTCAATAAAACCGTCTGACTCCAGTCAGGAGCAGAGCCTTCAGCGACTGGGCCAGTCGGTTTACTCTTTAACGTTGGATTGATTTCTTTCCCTCTCTCTCCTTCTCTACTCTATTTTCCTCTATCTCTCTCTCTCAGGGGATTTTCTTGGTGATATTCACTGAGTCCAGGAAACTCCACTGCATTATTTGAAGCAAGCTCTTTGGACATGGTAATTTGACACACACGTGTGAAAGTAAGATGCACAGCCTCAGCGCGCAGCTTGTTAACAAAGCAATCGCTCAGCACCTCATCCAAATATTGTCCATATGGCTCACAACCTCCTCATGGCT